GCAGTTAGTTTTCTCAATTGAATTGTTTCATATTTTTCATGTAGGGGCCTTTTATAGCAGACTATACGGTATGGCATGTATGGGTTTTTCTCATTGTTGAAGGTTGTACGTTGCGTATAATTTCTAATACATCCACTTGATCATTGCTTATTTTGAACTTTGGTGGATAGTTGTCTCATTGGCAATCATATCTCATCTCCTTATTTTTATCTGTAAATCAAAATATTGTTTTTATTGGTACCAACATTGATTTTGTTTTTGAAAAATTGAAACATAACTAAATATATATTGCAATATATTTGCAGTTATGAGAACTCATTATCCTACATCTTGTCTATACTGTTTACTTATATTTTGGCATTGTACAAGGTCATACATTTCTCAGAATATTAATGATGTCTTGACACTAAATCTGTTGGATGTGTTCTGATTGATACTTTAGTCCGGGAGAACATGATTTACTTATTAGTTATAATTGGCTTTGAACTAGCTTTCAGTAACTGTGAGTACTCTTATTTCGGTGCTTGATGTCTTGTTTTTGTGTTAGTTGTTTTTGTGCTTTGTACTGATCTTTTGAGTTAAGCCAAGTAAAGCAATAGTTGTCTTATTGGCTATCATACCACATCTCCTTATTTTTATATGCAAATATGCTTAGTTAGACTTTCTGGAACTGTGATGAGATGATTAAAGCTGTACATTTTCTGCTTGATCTATGTAGGTTTCATCAATAAAGTTTAGTCATCAATTGCACCCCTTTCAAAGCAAACTTGTTCCTGTTTTGTTATGAATCACAGTTTACCGCCAAACGCAGTATAGATTCATCTTAATTTCATTTAATTGACAAATTTAATAAACACTTAACATTACTTTAATTACATTTGCTTTAAATATTAAAAATTCTCTAATTATAGTATGTACAATTACCGCAGAATTTACCAAATGAATAAATCTAATATATTCTCTATAAATCTTTGCCACTTCTCCCTGTCAGATTCAAACCAAGAATTTCCTTAATCCTATGATTCTGAAGTTCATCACATCATGAAGTGTGAGCCCAGTTTTGTTCTCCATGAACCTACCATGATGATGTAACCAATTCTGAAGTTCATCACATCGTGTAGTCTGATCAAAGTATTGTTCTCCATGAGCCTACTATGATAATGGTACTGATTACAAAAGTACATCACATCATCATGATCATGTAGTGTGAGCCTTGTGTTTTTATACGACCGCAAAAAAATTTTTGTCGTCGTATATTGGTATGACGTTGGCGTCGTCGTTGTCCGGCGTCGTCGTCCGAAGACACATTAGTTTTCGCACTCTAACTTTAGTTTAAGTGAATGGATCTCAATGAAATTTTACCATAAGGTTCAATACCACAAAAGGAAGGTGGGGATTGATTTTGGGGGTTATGGTACTAACAGTTAAGGAATTAGGGGCCAAAAGGGGCCAAAAATAAGCATTTTTGTAACTTCCAGACATAACTTGTGTGTAAGTGTATGGATCTCTCTGACATTGTACCACAAGGTTCCATATCACAAAGGGAATGCTGGGATTGATTAAGGGGGTAATTGCCTCCAAATTTTAGGAATTAGGGGCCAAAAAGGGGCAAAAAACAAGCATTTTTCTAGTTTCATGACAATAACTTGTTTGTAAGTGTATGGATCTTTATGAAATTGTACTACAAGGTTCCATATCACAAAGGGAATACTGGGATTGATTTTTGGGGTAATTTCCTCCAAATTTTAGGAATAAGGGGCCAAAAAGGGGCAAAAAACAAGCATTTTTCTAGTTTCATGACAATAACTTGTTTGTAAGTGTATGGATCTTTATGAAATTGTACTACAAGGTTCCATATCACAAAGGGAAAGCTGGAATTGAGTTTGGGGGTAATTGCCCAAAAAGTTTAGGAATAAGGGGCCAAAAAGGGGCAACAAATAAGCATTTTTCTAGTTTACAGACAATAACTTGTGTCCAAGTGTATGGATCTCTCTGAAATTGTACTGCAAGGTACCATACCACAAAGGGAAGGCTGGGATTGATTTTGGGGGTTTTTCCCTCAAAATTTTAGTAATTAGGGGCCATAAAAGGGCAAAAAAAAACATGCATTTTTCTAGTTTCAGGACAATAACTTGTGTGTAAGTGTATGGATCTTTATGAAATTGTACTGCAAGGTTCCATATCACAAAGGGAAAGCTGGAATTGAGTATGGGGGTAATTGCCGTAAACGTTTAGGAATTTGGGGCCAAAAAGGGGCCAAAAAACAAGCATTTTTCTAGTTTCCAGACAATAACTTGTGTTCAAGTGTACGAATCTCTCTGAAATTGTACTGCAAGGTACCATACCACAAAGGGAAAGCTGGGATTGAGTTTGGGGGTGATGAATCATAAGGGGGTTCAAAAAATTGGGGGGGGGATTTTTTTTTTCCTTTAACATTTTCCATTTTAAATTGGTTATTTCTGATTTATATATAAAAGCAAATAATAATGATATGGTTTGAATAGGTATACATGTGAACCTCAAGTACAATAATCCCGTTTTCAGGGGTCTCCTCCCGACCTCCCGTTGAAGAGGAAAAAATCCCGTGTATGAAATTTTTCATGAATGAAAAATTTCTGCCCAACATATCATCTCAGGCATCTGGTGTAACTGACATTACCTGAAGTCATATTTTACCTGTAAATCAATTAACATGCATAATTATATGGCTTCACTTGTCAGTTTGGCTGTCAAACATACTGGTAATCAACGATTTTTACCTCAGGCTGTGTATTTATTGGGTTACTTCCCTTGATTTATCCTGTTTTAAGTTACTTTCCTTTTAATAATGAAATTTTTTAAAAGAATATAAATAAAATATAAATTGAACAAATAATCATAAAAGGATGGTAATTAAATGATTTTAAATGTCTTAGGACAAATAAAAAAATAATAATTTGAAAATTATTTGAGGATTCTATACTTCCTTTCAAGGCTTAAATTGAAATTTATATAATAAATATGACCCTTATTTTACAGGTGGAATGATTTTCTGAGTTTGCAAATAAAAACTATTTGCAAGAGAAAAAAAAAAAAAAAAATAAAAACTATTTGCAGATAGGGAAACAAATGTTCTGGTTGCAATGATTGTTTTATAGAATATACTGAAAAAAAACAATGTTAGATTGAACATGTAGAATATAAAGATGGAAAAACTTTATAAGTACAAGGTTACTATAAACATAATAAATTGGATGGAAAGTTGAAGAAAACACACTTTGAAAGACCATTTTTACAGCACACGGTTACATTTACAACAAAATTAATGTTGATTAAAAACCTCCTGATCTGAGTCCTAATCTCCTGACCAAAATTTCCCAATCTCCTGATCTGAGTTTCACAGTCCATCACATGTATGAATAGGTAAATTGAAAATTTTTAAGTTCTTAGACCACTTTCATTTTGTGTCAGAAACCTATGCTGTGTCAAATATTTAAATACAATCCAAATTCAGTGCTGTATCAAGCTTGAATGTTGTGTCCATACTTGCCCCAACTGTTCAGGGTTCGACCTCTGCGGTCGTATCAAGCTGCGCCCCAGCGGAGCATTTTATTCATGTTTTTATTCACAATGAACTTTTCATGATAAAGGTACTTGTACTGATGCTTGAATATATATGTACATCAAGTTATGGAGTGTGAGTCCAGTAGTCCTTGAACCTACCATGATAATGATACCAATTCTGAAGTACATCACATCATGTAGTGTGAGCCCAGTATTGTTCTCTATGAACCTACCATGATAATGATACTGGTTCTGAAGTACATCACATCATGAAGTTCGAGCCCAGTATTGTTCTCTATGAACCTACCATGATAATGATACCAATTCTGAAGTACATCTAGTCCAATTATAATTATGACATTTTGAAAGGCTATTTTAATTTTTTTTCTGTGATGCCTGGTGTCACAGAAAAAAACTAACTTGAAATAGCCTTTCAAGACGTCATAATTATTTGGACTAAAGTACATCACATCATGAAGTGTCAGAGCCCAGTATTCTTCTCCATGAACCTACTATGATAATGGTACTGATTCCAAAAGTACATCACATCATGTAGTGTGAGGCTTGAGTTTTTATTCTCAATGAACTTTTCATGATAAAGGTACTTGTACTGATGCTTGAATATATGTACATCAAGTTATGTAGTGTGAGTCCAGTAGTGTTTTCCTTAAACCTACCATGATAATGATACTGATTCTGAAGTACATCACATCATGTCTTGTGATCCCAGTATTGTTCTCCATGAACCTACCATGATAATGAACTGATTCTGAAGTACATCACATCATGTCGTTTGAGCCCAGTATTGTTCTCCATGAACCTACATGTACCATGATACTGATTCTGAAGTACATCACATCATGTCTTGTGAGCCCAGTATTGTTCTCCATGAACCTTCGTACCATGATCATGATGATAATGATACTGATTCTGAAGTACATCACATCATGTAGTGCGAGTCCAGTATTGTTTTCCGTGAACCTACTATGATAATGTTACTGATTCTGAAGTACATCACATCATGCCGTGTGAGCCCAGTATTGTTCTCCATGATCATGAACCTACCATGATACTGATACTGATTCTGAGGTACATCACATCATGTAGTGCGAGTCCAGTATTGTTTTCCATGAACCTACCATGGTAAAGATACTGATTCTGAAGTACATCACATCATGTCCTGTGAGCCCAGTATTATTCTTCATGAACCTACCATGATACTGATACTGATTCTGAAGTACATCACATCATGTAGTGCGAACTAGTTCGGTATTGTTTTCCATGAACCTACCATGATACTGATACTGATTCAGAAGTACATGTACATTTTGTCATGTAAAGTATGTTCTCTTTTTTCTAGATGAACCTACCATGATAGATACTTCTATGTATATATATTTTGACTTTATTTGAACAATGACAGTGTGATCAGAGTTACTTTTATTTTATTATTTTAGATCCTAATTCTTTGTGAAACTTATGAGTGATCAACAAGAAAGACTATGGACTGCTTTAATGGATGAATCAGGTATGTTCACTGTTTTTTATGCCCCCACCATAGTGGGGGGGGCATTAAGTTTTAACCCTGCCCGTCTGTACGTCTGTCTGTACGTCCCAAAATTGGTTTCCGTTCTCTAACTTTAGTTTGCCTCAACCAAATGTTATGGAACTTATACACAATGCTAATTACCACTAAATACAGATCAAATTTGAATTTTGGTGGCGTCACTTTTACAGTTCTAGAGTTATGCCCCTTTACAAATGGAAAAATTGCTAAATTTTTCGTTTCCGTTCTCTAACTTAAGTTTGCCTAAACCAAATGTTATGAATCTTATACACTATGCTTATTACCACAATATACAGATCAAGTTTGAATTTTGGTGCCGTCACTTCTACAGTTCTAGAGTTATGCCCCTTTACAAATGGAAAAATTGCTAAATTTTTCGTTTCCGTTCGCTAACTTAAGTTTGCCTATACCAAATGTTATGAATCTTATGCACAATGCTTATTACCACAATATACAGATCAAGTTTGAATTTTGGTGCCGTCACTTTTACTGTTCTAGAGTTATACCCTTTACAAATAAAAAAATTGCTGAATTTTTCATTTTTATTTCTAAATATCAAGTATTTTTAGTCCCCTACCGACGAAGTCGATGGGGACTTTAGGTTTGCACTCCGTCTGTCTGTCTGTCTGTCCATCTGTCAGTCCGGCAAATCAGTTTTCCAGACCTTTTTTCTTTGTGCTTGAAGATATTGATTTGATATTTGGTTTATTGATTTATCATGACAAGTTACAGGTCAAGTTGAATTTTCACGATTTTAGCTTTTCTCTTTGTTCAGTTAAAGCCCTTTCCCTAGAATTAAAGTTTTGATGAAATACTTATTAATTAGTAGATTTCTGTTCAAAGGGAAATAACTCATTTTTTAAAAGACTTTTAAAATACAAAATGACATTTTGGATTTTTTTCTTTTTCTTTGATAAATTGTTTGAAGAATTTAGTGGTAGGTTTTTTTGATATTCTTGAAGATATTGATTTGATAATTAGTATATAGTTTTATCTTGACAAGTTACAGATCAAGTTGGAATTTTATTCCAGTCTGATAATTTTGTGCAGAGTTATGGTCTTATGACATAGAAAATTCACTTGAATTCAGTTTTCAACAGTTTTTTTCGATGACAAGCTAAAGATCAAGTTAGAATTTCGTTCCATTAGAATGAATTTGTAATCGGTAGGGGACTATGTATTGCCATGCAATACTCACAGAATGCTTGTTAAAATTGGAGTTATCTTTCTTTGTCCATGATTAAAAGTTGAATCAACTAACAATCAATGCTTTATACAATGCAATGTTTAATTTTACCTTCCACTGATAAATTAAAGCAATTTTTACCCTTCATTTCTAAAAATATTTTAAAGTCTTCTTTGAAAATTGGAGTTATCTTTCTTTGTGCATAATGGTAGTTGAATCAACTACAACCAATGCTTTATACAATGCAATATTCAATTTTACTTCCTAATGATAAATTAATGCAATCTTTACCATTCTGTGCTTACAAGAACTTTGATTACTGTTCTAGAGTTATGCCCATTTACAAATGAAAAAATTGCTGAATTTTTCGTTTCCGTTCTCTAACTTGAGTTTGTCTTAAATTAATGTAATGAAATGTATATATAATGCTTTTTATCACAAAACTCAGTTTAATTTTTTGTTTCCGTTTTCTAACTTTAGTTTGCCTCAACCAAATGTTATGAAACTTATACACAATGCTTATTACTACATAATACAGATTAAGTACGAAATTTGGTGGCGACACTTTTACCATTCTTGAGTTATGTCCCTTTATAAACATAAAAATTGCTGAATTTTTCGTTTCCGTTCTCTAACTTTAGTTTGTCTCAACCAAATGTTATAAAACTTATACACAACCTTTCTAGAGTTATGCGTATTTACAAATAGAAAAATTGCTGAATTTTTAGTTTCTGTTCTCTACTTAAGTTAGCCTCAACCAAATGTTATGAGACTTACACACAATGCTTATTACCACAAAACTCAGATCAAGTTCAAATTTGGGTAGCGTCACTTTTACCGTTCTTCAGTTATGTTCCTTTATAACTATATGATATGCAAGCGGGGGCATCATCTGTGTCCACATGTGGACACTATCCACATTTCTTTCCAAATCGTTTATCATGTTTATGAATATACTTTGTCACCTCACTTAAATTTCCCCTCTCCAACATGTGTCCAAGGTATCATTCTTCAGATGCTATCAAATATACATTGTATCAAACAATGGTTACTACAAAAATTTCTGTCTGGCAAACACTTTTATTTTTCTTGTAATCTACTATGTCTAATATGACCTCAGCCTTTTAATTTCCAATACTGAAACAACGTTATTTACAAGATGAAAGCTAAATAGAATAAGGTTCAAATCAGGAATAGCATATAACAAAAACACAAATACAAATACAAGTAAAATAATATAAAAGAAATATGGAATCAAAAAATGCTTGCAGTATTTGAAAGAAAGCTCAAAATAAGTAGAACTGCTGATATAAAAATACAAATGACATGCAACTTAGGGAGCTACCATTTGATTTTTATGGGGGGCTAGGATGAAATTTGAAGAAAAAAAGGCAGGACAGGAGTTTTGAGTAAGAAAAAAAGGCAAGATGAGCAACTTGGCAAAAAAAAAAAAGGCAGGATGACAATTTATGTAAAAAAAGTCAGGATAAACTAAAAAAAAAATAGAAGGACCGAATAGAGTGAAAAATAAAAAGGCAGGACAGAGATTACAATTAAAAAAAATGCAGGACAAAATTTTTCATCCTAGCCCCCCATAAAAATCAAATGGTAGCTCTTAAGGTCAAGGAACAGTTGTAGGTCTTCCTATAGGCATCAATTGCACCCCTTTAACATAGGTGGATCCGGGGGAGGGGGGGGGGCCTGGGTCCCCCCTTTTGTGGGAAAAATTTGGTTGATTATATAGGGAATCACTGAAACATGACTGTAGCGGGCCCCCTCTTATGGCAGTCAGTAGGACCCCCTTATAAAAAGTTCTGGACTCACCACTGCTTTAAGATAGAGCAGACTTGTTCCTGTATTGTAATTATGAATGGCCAAACTGAGTACAAATCCATCTAAATTCTGTTTAAATGATAGATTAAACAATAATATTGTTACTTTGGTTATACTTGTTTTAAATAATAAAAATTCTCTAACATTCTAATTATACAATGTACTGTAAATTCTGAAATTATTGCTGAGGTTTTTATTAATGTGAATTATGTGAATGGGTGACTATTGCAATATTAAGAACTCGCAAATTTGATATCTGATACATTTATCTGTATGCAGATTTTCCTGAAATCGCAATAATTTTTGCTCCCATTTTTGTCCATTCTTAATAATAAAAAAATCACAATAATAAATGCACACAATAATATTTGAATTTACAGTACTATAGAAACTAAAGGTTAATATCAAAGAATGGTCATAACAATAGCAATGGCAATGCCACAGATTTAAAAAAAAAAATTTAACATCAAAGGCACCATCCATTCATCTGTAGGTGGCATGGTTTTTTTCTCAGGACAAACCTTTTTTTCCTACTAATAAAAAGCTATATATTTTTCAATAACATACAAGTGCAAGAATTTTGGTGGCGTCACTTTTACTGTTCTACAGTTATATATGCCCCTTTACAAATGGAAAAATTGCTGAATTTTTTGTTTCCGTTTTCTAACTTTAGTTTGCCTCAACCAAATGTTATGAAATTTATACACAATGCTTATTACCTTTTTTGGTAGCATCACTTTTACCATTCTAGATTTAATTTTTTGGGGCCCTTTATAGCTTACTGTTCGGTGTGAGCCAAGGCTCCGTGTTGAAGACCGTTCTGTGACCTATAATGGTTTACTTTTATAAATTTTGACTTGGATGGAGAGTTGTCTCATTGGCACTCATACAACATCTTCTTATATCTATTTACGCCACTTTACAAATGGAATAAAATGCTCCGCTGGGCGCAGCTTGATACGACCGCAGAGGTCGAACCCTGAACAGTCGGGGCAAGTATGGACACAACATTCAAGCTTGATACAGCACTGAATTTGGATTGTGATTAAATATTTGACACAGCATAGGTTTCTGACACAGAATGAATGTGGTCTAAGAACTTAAAAATTTTTAATTTACCTATTCAAACCATATCATTATTATTTGCTTTTATATATAAATCAGAAATAACCAATTTAAAATGGAAAATTTCAAAGAAAAAAAAATCCCTCCCCCAAATTTTTTGAACCCCCTTATGATTCATCACCCCCAAACTCAATCACAGCCTTCCCTTTGTGGTATGGTACCTTGCAGTACAATTTCAGAGAAATCCATACACTTGAACACAAGTTATTGTCTGGAAACTAGAAAAATGCTTTTTTTTAGGCCCCTTTTTGGCCCCAAATTCCTAAATGTTTAGGGCAATTACCCCCAAACTCAAACCCAGCTTTCCCTTTGTGATATGGAACCTTATAGTACAATTTCATAAAGATCCATACACTCAAGTTATTGTCCTGAAATTAGAAAAATGCTTGTTTTTTGCCCCTTTTTGGCCCCTAATTCCTAAAATTTTTAGGCAATTTCCCCCAAAATCAATCCCAGCCTTCCCTTTGTGGTATGGTATGTTGCAGTACAATTTCAGAGAGATCCATACACTTGAACACAAGTTATTGTCTGGAAACTAGAAAAATGCTTATTTTTGGCCCCTTTTTGGCCCCTTATTGCTTAACGTTTTGGGCTATTACCCCCAAACTCAATTCCAGCTTTCCCTTTGTGATATGGAACCTTTTAGTACAATTTCAGAAAGATCCATACACTTACACACAAGTTATTGTCGTGAAACTAGAAAAATGCTTGTTTTTTGCCCCTCTTTTGGCCCCTAATTCCTAAAATTTTGAGGCAATTCCCCCCAAAATCAATCCCAGCATTCCCTTTGTGATATGGAACCTTGTGGTACAATGTCAGAGGAACCATACACTAACACACAAGTTATGTCTGGAAGTTACAAAAATGCTTATTTTTGGCCCCTTTTGGGCCCCTAATTCCTTAACTGTTGGTACCATAACCCCCAAAATCAATCCCAACCTTCCTTTTGTGGTATTGAACCTTATGGTAATATTTCATAGAGATCCATTCACTTAAACTAAAGTTAGAGTGCGAAAACCAATGTGTCTTCGGATGACGACGACGCCAATGTCATACCAATATACGACCAGAAAACTTTTTTTGCGGTCGTATAAAAATTGCTGAATTTTTTGTTTCCGTTCTCTAACTTTAGTTTGCCTCAAACAAATGTTATGAAACTTATGTGCAATGCTAATTACCACAAAACACAGATCAAGTTTGAATTTTGGTGGCCTCACTTTTACAGTTCTAGAGTTATGCCCCTTTACAAATGGAAAAATTGCCGAATTTTTCGTTTTTGTTCTCTAACTTAAGTTTGCCTCAACTAAATGTTATGAAATTTATACACAATGCTTATTACCACAAAACTCAGATCAAGTACACATTGGGGTAGCGTCACTTTTACTGTTCTTGAGTTGTGTCCCTTTATAACATATGAAAGTGGGGGCATCATCTGTGTCCCATGGACACATTCCCCATTTATTTCCACTTAAAATAGTACTGTAACGTATAACTAGGCGTTTATATCAAAAACGTACGTTCCAATAAATACTTGGATCCAAGTTGTCCAAACAATACGGCAATACTAAAAGCTATAATTATCTATCTTATGCACAATGAACCAAAATATATACACTAGCTATTTGCCGATCCAAAGTAACAATGAACAATAAAACAATTATATATACACCAATATAATATTAAACAGCCTGTCCTCCCCGAGTGGGACTATCTGTCACTATATATAAGACAGTGCGGGCTGGTACAGTATGTTGCTACCAGACAGTCTGGGCTGGTACAGCTTGTCCTCCGAGTGGGACTATCTGTCACTATATATAAGACAGTGCGGGCTAGTACAGTATGTTGCTACCAGACAGTCTGGGCTGGTACAGCTTGTCCTCCGAGTGGGACAGACTGTCACTAACAAACAATGCGGATTGTTGCAGTCTGTCCTCCGAGTGGGACAGTCTGCTCTACCAACTTTCAATGTTAGACCAACTTGTACCCAGTACAAGTTGTCCCCAGTACAAGTTGTCCTATCTAACTTACAGCTATGTAACGTACTCACTATTGTAAGCTGGTCTTCTTTTGTAAGAATATCGACAGAACCTGAATTGTATTCCTTACCCCCTTATATACTCCAGGGCGAATACACTATTTACTGGATAGGGGTGTTCTCTAAATGTTCCCGATACCGAACACAAAAATCCCTCTCAAACACCCCCATACCCTTGGACCCAACCACTGACTTTCCCGCCAAACGTCTAAATCCACACAACATGCACAATGCTTCCTTCTGCGTGAAATATGCATATATACAACAAGATTCTTCTTGTTTGTTACCTTAACAACCAATAAACATTACACTACTTCCCACGCAACATGATCATCATCATAGTTTTCTGTGGCAATTGAATTACAGAATTCATTGAAATATTCTATAGCATTTGCAAACTGGAGCCATAACCATGTTTCATTTGTTAGCAACAATAAAATAATATTGTTGTTCATGATGTTTCATTAAGAAATAGAGAACTTTAATTTATGAATTTTTACAATAACTTATTATCAAAAAAAAAAAAAAAATCATGATTATTCAGTTTGGCAGTCAAGGGTCTAACTTAAATAAGTTATTAGAGAAAAATAACATACATTTGTTATTGAGGGCTAAAAAATCAAAAATCTGTGATAACATATGTATGTTACATGTTTAAAAGGGGCATTATACATCGTTTTTTTTGTTAAATTGTGTACTAGTTCTATTGATATTATAATTGTCTTTATGTATATTAAACTTTAGAAAGATATAACAGTCCATAGTTTGCCAATCATGCATAACACACCCATGTTATTACAGAAAAAATATGCCTGTAATAACTAAAGGGTGTTATTACAGCTTCTCTATATCTCTTCAAAGCCTTTTCTCCTACATATATCACAATGTATTTTAATTTATTGTAATAAATAGTGATAAGAGCATGTAATGAGGTTCTGCGCAAGCTTCCTAGTCATTCCCAAGTGTCTCATGTAATAAGTTAAATGCCTGTAATAACTAAGCCTTGTTATTACAGCTAAGTTATCACTTAAAAGCCTTACCATGGTTGATCAAAAATGTATTAATTGAATTCGAAAATTAGTTTTCAAGGTTATGTATTAAGTTACTGCGCAAGTTTCAAGAATTCCCAAGTGCCCACTAAAATAAAAAAATTTATGGTACATTTAACTGATAACAAACATATGTTACTACAGATTAAGAGAAAGTATCTGTAATAACACATGTATGTTATTTTTCTCTAATAACTTATTCAAGTTACACCCTTGACTGTTTGGTATTGAATAAGTTTTTTTTTGTGTTTTTTTTTTAACAGAGATTTTTCCTGTACCAACATCAGATGATATTCCAACTCATAGTACTCCAGTTAAGGTATGTTTAATAAGCAAATGGATTTCAACACAGGTCATGCAGGTGTAGTACAGTCGTTGAAAACTATTCTGACATCTGAAACTTTACCTGTAAAATTTATATTATGTAAAGATTGGTACAGCTTTTACTTTTACATTGAGTGGCCACTGTGGTATGATATTTCTGCACTTACAACAAGTAAATTTTCATATTTAAACAAGACTTGAAGATCATTTTAAATATTTGAAATTTGATTTGTTAAAGAATGAAAACTGATGAACAGAATGAGATGCAGTGGTAAAATATTTGGCAGTAGTTCCATATGTCACCTTACCATATAAAAAAACACAATGACACCTACAGTTTATTCCGTGGAGTGCCATATGGAACTTTTTCCTAGTAGTTTTCTCTGATAAAATCTGTGACCTCATCCTGGATTGTTGTCTTTTTTTATGCCTTTAGTCTTTACCATACCAAACCAAATAAGCAGAATTTGTTGTTTTCACTTGTGTAATTCAATTCAATTTTTTTACTTGGAAGAGATGGGGTGGTATAAAAGTAATACATTGTTGTTATTGTTGTCGTCTTCATCGCCCGAAGACATTTGGTTTCCAGACAATAACTGGAGTATGAATCTCCTATGAAATTGTACCACAGGATTACGTACCACAAAAGTAAGGTTGGGTTGATTTTAGAGGTTATTGTCATAACTGTTTAGAAATTAGGTGCCAAAAACAAGCATTTTCTAATATTGTATAAATTGCTTATTTCTTGACCAATTTAAATGGGGTTGAATTGAAAGTCTTGAAATCATGGGGTTCTTTAACATGTTAAATCTGACTGTATATTTAGATTTTGGATTTTGGGCCTCGTTTTTAAATTAGTCCACATTGAGGTCCAATGGGTTCAAAATTAAACTTTGTTTTATTGCAACAAAAATTGAATTCTTGGCTGGCTTGGGGTTCTTTGATATGCTGAATCTAACAGTGTATTTAGATTTTTGATTCTTTGGACTCAGTTTTCAAATTCAACATGAAATTGGTCCACATTAAAGTCCAGAGGGTCCCAAACTTGATTTAAACAAAAATTGAATTCTTGGGGTTCTTTGATATACTGAATCTAAACATGTATTTAGATATTTGATTTTTTGCTTTAGAAAAAGCTCTATATATAATATTCAAAAGGAGCCAAGACTTTTATTCGATCCAAAGACACTATAGAAATGTAGATCAGAAATTGCCATTAAAGTAAGTTATGCTAAAAACAGACTTTTTCGCCCCAGTCGCCTGCTAGCGTGAGCCCTAAAACTGTTGTAAGTTATGGAAAAATAAGATCATACCTGACATATCAACACAAAATTTGCATAATTATGGGGTCATAACTCATACAATTTATAATTTATTATGTGATGTGTAAAAAAGTCCTTTAGTTCTAGGTGAAATTTGTAGTATTTTAATTTTAGGGCCCATTTTAACCCTTTTGTGAACCTACTCTGCTCATAGATTTTATAGATCATGTTTGTAATAAAAAAAATCTTAATCATACATTGTTGTATTTGTACTATGATCTCTGAGAAAACCTAATGATGAATAAAAAGACACTTTTATAAATTAATGACAATTTTTTGTTATTAGTTGTATGTTGATTGAATCCATTAAAAATGATATTAAATTATTTGTAATTTATTTACCTGCCAAAAAAATGGAACTACACAATGAAAAATACATTAATTTTATAAAAATCACACATAAATTATATCTATATAGTTGGAATAGACTATGCACATGATACAATTGTAAGCTCATGAAACCTTGACTCTATTTTGTTTACTTAACTTATAGATAATGGGTGTAATTAAAAGTTGGCAAACCAAGAGTAAACCAAATTGTCCATGTACCTGAACTATATATAATAATAATCTTCATTTTAAATACCAAATCAAAAACAAAAATTAAAGTTGTCAATATGCAATACATATGATACACAAATTTAACTATCATTAAGAGAATATATATAACTTTTTTAAGAGAAAAAATAATAATGTGAATAAAACAATTGAATTTTAACTGTTTCACTTTGTAGCCCTCCATTCCACCATTTACAACAAGGAGTAGATCCCATTCCAAGAAAGTATTAAGTGTTCCTCCACAAGGTTTATCTAATCCATCAAGCTCCTCTCATATACCTTCAACTCTTTCACTTAAACACTATAATGAGGCACATTCTCTAAAAGATTATGAAGATAAATATGGATCTTATTTACGGGACATAGATAAAACACCACAGAACAAGGATGTACCTGAAGAGGACAAGAAATATGTACAAATATTCAAGGATGTTTATAAAGAGGAAAAGAAATGTGTACAAACATTAAAGGATGATAATCTTATCTCATTACCAGATCATTCAAAAAAAATGAGACATGAAAATCAACATTCAGAAAACTCTAAACATCTTGGTTTAAATACATCAGATTCAAAAACTGGAACCAGAAATCATCACAACCATAGCAGACCAATTTATTCAATCAGTTCACAATTAACTAACAACCAATCCTCTAAGGTACCTGTAGGTGTAGATGATTCTTTTCATGGTCTGTTTAATAAACATTCTGTTGGTACAAAAATTGAACATTCTGCAAACCATGTGAAGGAGTTGTTTAATTTTAAACCAAAAGATAAAAAAGAGGACAGTTCAAAGAGAAAAAACATGAATCATACTGGGTCATTCAGAGTTCAGACTGACAGAAATGAAGTTGCTGATAACAATGACAATGCTCCCGGAAGTCCAAGGGGTTACTTTCGTCATGGTAATGGAAAGCTGACAGAACAGTTTTCTTTAAGAGTAAGTAGTTTTAAAAACAAGCAATTTTGGGGTTTTTTTTTTGTGTTTATTTAGAAAATGCTAATACATATAAAAATACATATAAAGATGTTTGGTGTGAATCAGTGCAGTGTAACAGCACCCTGAAAGCACCAAAAAAGAGATATATACAGATGCTTTATGGTTTTATCAGTATACAACAGACTTTAAATTGTATGTTTTCTAAATAGGTTGCGATAGAATTAATTTAAAAGAGATGTCCTAAGACCTTACATTAAAACTAGATTTATGAACTGAAAAATGTCCACAGAATCACAGACAACCACTGCCAAAATCACAGATTTTTTAAAAAATAATTATAGTTCTTTCAAGTCGCTTATAAGCATCAGTGTGGTTACTCTGTTTCTACTTTATAGCAGGTTAGGCTTGGTATTATGTCACTTTTTATGTGTGCTTACTTGAATTAGGAGCATTTAGTACAGTGATTTTGACATGATTTGGTTAGGTCACTCCCTAGAACGATTGCCTTAGTTCTCTACAAATAAGCATACCAAAAGTAAATAAAAAATTTTGATTTAATGTTATACATCAAACTTTCAATATTTAAATTGTGGTTGTTGAAAAGTAACAAACATATAGCATAATATCGAAAATTGACATGGTTTGTGTAAGTGTTCCAAATATTGACATGGGTTTCACTTTTGTCATGGTTTGGATCAAAATTAATATATATTAGTTTCATGAATATATTAATGGTTTGTTAAAATGCTTCGTTAAAAGAACACAATTACAAAATGTACCAAATGACTAATAAGAAAAATAGCCTTTTTAACTAATTAATGGGTAAACTGTAGTGAATCATACATGCAAAATATTACTTATAGATGGTATCCATAGATATCATAGCTGTGAATAATATAATTGACATATATATATATATAGGCATAACTCATTTGTGCTGCCATTTAATAGAACACTTTTTTACCTAAAGTTGTCTCTGTATGTCGGTTTCAAGTTATGCCAGGGATGTATAGATGAGCAACATTAGGAATCAAACTGTAAACCCTGGTAAGCTTTTGGTTCTTTAGTCCTACAATCCTCCATATCACCATTAAGGCCTCATAATTGTGTTTTAACAAGTGAGTTTTAATTTAGAAAATAGAAAGACTTGCCATATCTGATCATTTTTGTGCATACCAATCATGAATGCAATCTGAGACTGGACAATGTATTTTTGGTAAATGTCACAGTTAGCAGTACATTGCTGTTGTCATAGATGTTTGACATGGCTTTTAAGCCATGTCTGTTTTGTTTCTTTTTGTTGTGTTCTTTTTATATGACCGCAAAAATATTTTGCGGTCGTATATTGGTATGACGTTGGCGTCGTCCGAAGACACATTGGTTTTTCGCACTCTAACTTTAGTTAAAGTGAATGGATCTCTATGAGATTTTACCATAAGGTTCAATACCACAAAAGGAAGGTTGGGATTGATTTTTGGGGTTATGGTACCAACAGTTAAGGAATTAGGGGCCAAAAAGGGGCCAAAAATAAGCATTTTTGTAACTTCCAGACATAACTTGTGTGTAAGTGTATGGATCTTTCTGAAATTGTACTACAAGGTTCCATATCACAAAGGGAAAGCTGGAATTGAGTTTGGGGGTAATTGCCCAAAACATTTAGGAATAAGGGGCCAAAAAGGGGCAAAAAATAAGCATTTTTCTAGTTTCCAGACAATAACTTGTGTTCAAGTGTATGGATCTCTCTGAAATTGTACTGCAAGGTACCATACCACAAAGGGAAGGCTGGGATTGAGTTTGGGGGTGATGAATCATAAGGGGGTTCAAAAAATTTGGGGGAGGGATTTTTTTTTCTTTGAAATTTTCCATTCTAAATTGGTTATTTCTGATTTATATATAAAAGCAAATAATAATGATATGGTTTGAATAGGTAAATTAAAAATTTTTAAGTTCTTAGACTATATTCATTCTGTGTCAGAAACCTATGCTGTGTCAAATATTTAATCACAATCCAAATTCAGTGCTGTATCAAGCTTGAATGATGTGTCCATACTTGCCCCAACTGTTTAGGGTTCGACCTCTGCAGTTGTTTCAAGCTGTGCCCAGCGGAGCATTTTATTTTTTTTGGTGGGGGGAGGGGGAAGGAAGGAATTCAATGAAAAAATATCATATGAATCTCTGACTGTAATGATGTCTTTACACTAAATCAATTTGATGTTGGATGTGTACTTATTGATATTTTAGTCTTGGATACATGATTTTTTTATTAGTTGTTTTTGTTAGCTTTTATCGATTTTGTACTTTGTATTGTTCTGATGAGTTAAGCCCTGTGCAACCGACTATTATAGTTTGATCTTATGTTCATGATGTTGTACTGTTACACCACTGACCCAGGTTAGGGGATGGGTTTGGTGTCAGCAAGTTTGTTTAACTCCACCACATTCTGTTTGTGCATATTCGAAGTATAAGGAGTCTGTAATTCAGTTGTTGTTGTTTGTTGCTGTATATCATATTTGTTTTTTGTTTATTGTTTTGTACATAAATCAGGTCATTAATTTTTTGTTTGAATTGTTTTACATTTGTCATTTCAGTGCCTTTTATAGCTTAATATGCGGTATGGGTTTTGCTCAATCTTGAAGGCCATACAGTGATGAGCTATAGTCATGATAGTTGTAACTAGATCATTTGGTTTCTGTTAGAGAGTTGTCTCATTAGCGATCATACCACATCTTATTTTTATTTAAATTGCACAATTTGTCTGACAAATGGGCTATGCAAATAACTGAAATCCACTGAAGTATATGTTTAGCTGACCCCTGTTTTTTTCAACACCAGAGAACACTTCTTTTTTTATTGCAAAATTGTATAAAATGCAAAAATGCTCAAAAAGGAGGACAAACATATAAACTTTATAGCTTGCTGTTCAGTGTGAGCCAATGCTCCGTGTTGAAGGCCGTACCTTGACCTATAATGGTTTACTTTTATAAATTGTAACTTGGATGGAGAGTTATCTCATTGGCACTCATACCACATCTTCCTATATCTATATATATGCAGACAGTTATGAAATAAATCAAGATCTGATTTTTCAATATTCAACAGTATTTTTGTAAACAAATGTGTAACTTTTTTAAAAATAATTATCAATTTATGCCCTATATCTGGGAATTGAGAAATCTTCTTTACCATTTATTAAAAATGTTTAGGCTCTTTCAACTGATCATGACAAAGTACAATGCTCAATTTGAAATCTTACAAAACATCAGTTCATACTATACTAGGTGATTAATACAGGAAACTCAAAATCAATATTGGTTTCTTTATTGAATTTTTAGTTAAAAGAATTACAAATGTGTGGACTTTCAGAAATACATTTGTATGCAATAAAAAAAAAAGTGAGGCAAATGCCTTAGAACAATATATGTAGAATTTTTTTTTCATAATTTTTTTGCATTACAGGGAAACAGTTCAAGTATGGATACATCAACTATAAATAAACAAAGATGTGAGATTCAGATGCTGGTTGCTGAGTTGAGAGATCGTGATCGAGAGCTAAATGAGATGACTCAAGCACATCAGCATCAGTTACAGGCATGGGAACAGGACAGGCATAGGCTGTTAACACTTGAAGAAAAATGTCATCAGTATCAAGGTATTGATTCATGAACCATTTGCATGATTTAAATGATGTTTGTTCAGTTATTGACAGATTGCTATAAGCCTATAGCTACATTCCATGGAAATATGAATTATAAACCAAAAACTAGAGAATTTTTCAAGTGTTTCTCTGTAGAGTATACAACATTTATTTTTGCCCGAGTCTGATTTCCATCTGCCATATTTTTCAAATACCTGTTGCTAATGTCTGCATTAGCAGGCACTGTGGCCCCCATTTGATCTGAAAAAGTGGAACCATTGTTACAATCGGGACAAATAATTGTTATTCTCTAAAGTAGACACTCTCTAGCGGTGGTGAAACTGAGTTTCTTATCCTTATTTATCAATTTACAAAACTTGCCTGACTGATAGATAGGAAGAAATGAAATTTTATTCATGTGACTTCCAAAACCACTTTAACCAGCAAACTGTGTGTATTTAAGTAACATATGATAGGGGCATGCGTTTGTAGAACATTCTGAAATGAGCACTTTATTGTTTTGCCTGTATTGGTCAGTTTTGCTCTTATTTATATGTTGAATTGAAAAAGAATCTTGTATTTTGATGTAAAAAAAACACAAAGAACTAACTTTATCGTATCTAAGGAATACTGCAAAAAAAAAGTAGCATCATAGTTAGATCCAGTTACCATTTTGGATTCTGTAAACTTAGAAATTTTTGCCATGTTTTTATTATAGTGAAAACTGCAATGGGATAGGTCTTGCTAAAATTAAAATTCACATTTTATAATATGATAGCATTATTCGTAATGTTCGTATGCAGCATTTCCTTAAATTGCCATAATTAATCTTGCTATTGAAGTAATCTTACTAATTATATTGTTTTGTTGGTGACCTTCTGCTGTTGTCTGTTCTATGGTCGGGTTGTTGTCTCTTTGACACATTCCCCATTTCCATTCTCAATTTTATTATCCATTGTTGAACAATCACAATAATTAATGCACACAAAAACCCATTTCAAAAATTTTTGTGTGCATTAATTATTTCAATTTTAAAAATCTCAAAAATTTCTGAATTTACTGAGTATCCAAAATTGTCAACTCTGACAGATTATTCTCATTTGGGGTGCACTCTCAGAGAAATAACCCTTATGATGGTAACTTATTGAATAGATAATAATATTTTCGTCAATTCTTCGTCAAACGAACATAAATTATTTATGTACTAGTCTACATAATTTATGACCCATCTGATTCTTATCTCATAAATAACTAAAACACAAGTTTTAGATCTTGTCAGACATGAGGACCATTCTTTTTAAGTCAACATTGTTATATCAAGCAAACTATAACTTATTTGTGAATAGTAAACAAAGTCCATAAATAGAATAAGTCCTCTGCTGAAAAATAAGAGAAATGTAGCACTCAACAATATACAAAAGACAAACAAATCATGTTAAAAATAGCTACTATTTTGGAATATATATCTACATAAGTAAAGCTAACAAAAATATGTCCACACTGATGAAAGGTCAACATCCTTCTCAATACTTTCAAACCGAGTCCACCTGATTTACATACTCAGGTTCATAAACCGGATACAATTCTAATAATATTATCATAGAACTGTCATACGATAAAAATTCATCTACCATTATAAAAATAAGGAGATGTGGTATGATTGCCAATGAGACAACTATCCACCGAAGTTCAAATGAAGTGGATGTAAGCAATTATAAGCAACCGTACAGCCTTCAACAATGAGAAAAACCCATACCGTATGGTCAGCTATAAAATGTACATAAATACATTTATTTTCTAATTCCTTCTTCAGATGAACATAAATTATTTATGTACTTGTCTACATAACTTATATTATAGAAACTATAAACCGGTGACTGACCCATCTGATTCTTATTTCATAAATAACTAGAACACCAGTTTTAGACCTTGTCAGGCACGATGACCATTCTTCTGTGTACAAACAAAGAAATTTCAGAACTTGTAAGCGTTTTTTTTCAAATCGTCACTAACGTAACTATCTTTTGATTTATCAGTCTTCCACCTTCCATGAATCTTTAATAATCTGTCTGAGACACTGGTCAGTGTTTATACTAGGGGCTGAACAACAGCCTGGTCTATAACTATGTGTTCCAAAAATACTTGGATCTAAACATATTTCTAATAAAGCACTTTTTCCTATCTCTCTGGTTCTAGCTAGTTTTACATTTTTTTTTTCTCAGCTCGAAGCTGTTTGTACTCTTACAATAAGATATTGCTCTTAAGGTGTAATACCACCAAATCATAGTACGTCACATCCGGTTGCATACGAAAATAGGTCGAAAAAAAATATTCCCTTGAATTTGACAGTTGTAGGTAATTGATCCTACATTTCATTGCAGTAAAACATTTCTGAGTCATAAACATATATCTTGGGTATTTCAAAGCACCATTATTTCTTTATTTGGGGTTTCTATAGAATATTTTGGAAACTTGAGGTTACATGGTTAGGCCAAGTAAATTTAATTAGTAGATTTTCATCCAAATTTTTGAAAAAAATGGGGTGGGTGGGAGGATTTTATTTTTTATTTTTTATTAGATATGAAACGCTCTTGTGACGTGTTCTTCATATATGCAAGTGTAATAATAAGGTTCTATCATGTATATACATGTATAACGAATCAAACATACAAAGAAATGCAAAAACCAAAATTTGAAACAGGATGTTATTAATGAAACGAAATTATCGACAGTTACCGGTAACGAAAATGAACAAAATCCGGAAATCGTAAATTTTTCAAAATAAAAAAAATTGGGGCGGAACGATTTCAGAGGGGCGGGCGGGGATGAAAATCTATCAATTAATTTTAATTGGCCTTACTAAAGCTTGTACACAGGTTAAAAAAGGGGGAAAATTTGATTGGTTAACTTCCAGTGATGGTTATTTTCTTATATGCAATGAAATGTTATGTGAAATTTTTTCTATAGTACTGGACAGGATAAATCTTTACTCATGCCAAGTATTTCTTTATTTGAAACAAAGATAAATTCTGCACAATTTTTTGAAAAGTAAATTTAACAAAGACTAATAGGGGGAAATCAATGGTGGTATTACACCTTAACACAAAATCATCTGAAGAAATGTCTATTTGAGCTACATCTAAGTAATCACTCAAAATTTTAACAGGACAGGACGTGAACTTGATCAAGTTTAGCCATTAAATTTTTTTTTCCTTTTTGGTTACAATTGATTTTACTACTTTTAATAAAAATATCAATATGATCGTCTCCAAATGTAATGTGTTTTGCTCTGATCTCACATAGTTTGCTGTACCTTAAAAATCCTGAATAAGCCAGAAAACGCAAAGCTAATTAGAATTTTAAACGAATTATAGGTATACAAATTTTCAAAAAGTCTAAGAATTATGTTTGTGTTCGTTATAAGTTCTTTTTGTACGACCACAAAATTTTTGCGTCGTATAATGTAATCATGTTGTCTGCCTTTTCGTCGTCCGAAGACATTTGGTTTCTTGACAATAACTTGAGTATAACTGTTTAGTAATAAGGGGCAAAAAGGGGCCAAAACAAGCATTTTTCTTGTTTCAGGACAATAACTTGTGTACTAGTGTATAGATCTCTATGAAATTGTACCGCAAGGTTCCATACCAAAAAAGGAAGGTTGGGATTGATTTTGGGGTGTATGGTCCTAACTGTTTAGGAAAAAGGGGCCAAAACAATACTTTTCTAATACTTTGTATAAATTGCTGATTTCTTGACTAACTTCAATGTGGTTTAATTCAAACTCTTGAATTATTAGGGTTCTTTGATATGCTGATTCTAACCGTGTATTTAGATTTTGGACCATAACTAAGGTAAATGTCCAATTTCAAAGTTCTTAGACCACATTCATTCTGTGTCAGAAACTATGCTATGTCAAATATTTAACAATGTTTAATCACAATCCATTTTCAGAGCTGTATTGTACAATTAATAGAAATTGTAAATATAGTCATAGTTAAAAATAGATACAGCATCAAATAAAATTTTAGAGAAAGTTAGAAATTTACTGTTCATTACTAGATATTTTGGGATTTTTATTTTAGTTTGATAGATTTTTTAAAGACATCGTATTTATGAGGAATGATATTTTGGAAATTGTTTTTTTCAGTTTTTTTTTGTAAATGTTTTGAAGAACTTCGTGGTAGATTTGTTTGTTATTCTGTATAAATTAATTTCAAAATGCTATATATATATATCATGTGTCACTCATTTTCCCTACCATCACTTGTTTCCAGTAACTCAGGCTTCCGTTTTGGACTCTTACAGTTTTAAGAAATTTATTCCTCCTCCCAAACATCAATATTGAAAAAAATTACCAGCGTATTGATCATGTGGATTATTGATAATTTGTATAGCATTCAAGATTTTTATTTCAGTTTGACTACCACATGTCAAGATAAGATTCATTTTACATCTTACTGATGAAGGATATTAGTTATCCGAAATATCTAAAATTTTATCATGATTTAATTATTTTTTGGTGATGTTGTACCCTTTTAGACTTGTTATATATATATATATCTGCACACATGAAAATTATTTTTTTACGCCTCAGCACAACAATGTTAAATCTGCGGAAGCAAATTTTTGTTCTTCCCTCGCTGGGATTCGAACTCATGCTATTGGGATATGGTGACAACACGGCCTGCACTGTGTCCAGTGCTCTAGACCACTCGGCCACCTAGACTGAACTTAAAAATTCAGCTTTCGATGGCTGAATTTTGATATTTAGATTAATTATGAATATGATATGTGTTTTCAGCCGTGTATCACCTTCACTGGTGATCCAATGGATGGATCTGTCGTAGAGTTGTCACTTGTTTAGACGTACTTATTATTATATAAAATATACTTTTTCACTTTTTTGGTCTTTTGTAAAATGTTGTTTGTGCTGTATTTAGACCCCTCTACCAAGAAATTTGTTTTGCATGCACACGTATAAAAATTGCAGTTTTTATCCAATGCAATCATAGGTT